GACTTGGAGATCCTGGGGTCTTTTCCAACCTTCATGATTCCATGATTCTATAAGTGGTTGTGGTTGGGATGGGCTGGGGTTGGACTTGGAGACCTTGGAGGTCTTTTCCAACCTTTACAATTCTGTCATTCCAGGATTCCAGGATAGCTATTTTCTGCACAATGAACCACTGATGTAACAGTGTGTCCGTTTTCTTCTCTCATCATTACAAAACTGTAAAGGTTTCCAAGACAGACTTGGGGTTTTGAAAATCCCAGCTTATAAAGGGACACTGAAGAAGTGCAGTGTGTTTAATTCATCAAAGGATCAACAAGGAAGTTGCCTTCAGCCCATAAATACCCTATAAATACCCAAGGAAGGAAAGGATTTCCGGCTACATGAGAGCTTTCAGTTCTAACAGAAAAAGGAGAAGCAAGATTTAGCAGCCAGGAGTGAAAGGTGGATAAATCCATATGAGAAATACACCACACATCTTTAATGCCAAGAGTAAATCAAGGCTGGGCACGACCCAGTAGGGCACATCAGTGGAGAACACCATCATTTCAGCACTTAACCTTCCTCTTTTCTGCTTATTTTCTTCCGATTTACTTTTCAAAGATCCTTACTCTGAGGATGCTGCTTAGAATTACATTTCAAAAGATCCCCCTGTCTGTTATCTAGATCCCTGGGTGCTCTGGCTGATTTCAAGCCTTATTCCTCATATCTTGGTTAACATGACACAGGTCCCAGCTTGACACCGGATGTTCTGGGTATTAAAAGTAAAAGCAGTTTTGTCTCGTGAGAACATATCCTGCTTGTAATATCTTTGTTTCCTTCATAACAATACCAACAGCAAGAAATTAGCCCAATTTTTATGAGCAATTAGTCTAACTACAGTAAGCATTTTGAAGATTAAGAGAAGATGAAGACTCCAGCTGGGCTGCTCTCTTGCTGCAAAGTGTCTTTACAATGCACATGAGTATTTTTGCCATTTTTCATTTTATTTCATGCATGCTTGTTGAGAGAGCTTTCACTAATGGTCTGTGTAAAGCAATCCCTACCAGAGAAACGGGCACAAATCAACCCAGATGGTTCCTTGCTCTGTTCTTGCCATGAGTTGTTCTCCTCTCCTTGGTTTTCAAGAAGGAGCTCAGAACCTGGCAAGTCCCCACGCACGACAGCAACACTTACCAATGATCATGTTGGCAAAGGAGGCTGTGAGGGAGAACTGTCTCTCCAGAAACTTCCCCATGAAGGTGGCTAAGCCAGCAACCATGGCCGAGAGGTTGACCTGAGCCAACACCACCAGCAGGTAGACGGGGTGGCGAAGGTTCCTCAGCAGGACCACAGGAAAATCTGGAAGGAGAAAAGGGCAGCCTGATGCGTACAGAGGGGAACAGCAAAATATCACCCATAGAAAATGGCATAGCTTTGAAATTTCCCCAAAGTTTTGGGCAGGATTTTGGCAACCCTGCCTGCAGCAGTGGTGTTGGAACTGGACGATCTTTGAGGTCCCTTCCAACCCAAGCCGTCGTGTGAACCCATGGAAAACCCTGTGCAGGATTAACAATTCGGGATTGGTGAGGTCTACCAAAGATTTCCCTTATAAAAAGGCAGAACGAGTGCTTTCAGGGTTTATCATTTCAGTTATATTATGTGGTGGATTGGACGAGAAGAAGCCGGGTCGAAGCATCAGTGGTTGCATACATGTCCCAAGGAAACAGCCTCGGTTCCTTTCCCTGAAACTTTCTGCCATGGCATGAAAAACATCTGGGAGGTCACTAAGTGTCAATTTGTTTATTTGCTGTGGTTGAAGCTGCAGTGTCCTTTCTGTTTCGGTAGTAAAGATGCTTCTCTATTATTGTTATTACTTTCAACGGTTAAGATGCATTTTTCTGAATTACAGGCAAGAAACGACGCCAGCAGATTCCCCCGAGGCCAAACTCTTGGTACTTGAGCAAAGACTTGTTGGAGGGACACTGACACCCACCAGCTGCAGACCTCCAGCCCGGAGCTGCTTCTCCCCCATGCTGAGCCCTCGTTCTGCTCATGCCTTTGCTTTGCAGCACGTAAGCAGAGGGCATACATAAAAGGCAACTTCCAGACAAACAGCAGATGAGCTTCCCAGATGAGAGCTCTGAAAGCCAATATGTTGGAGCAGAGATAAGGAATTAACAGGGAGGATTAATGCGAGGGCCTTGCTGTAAATTAATGGTGTTAATTCCCAGCAGCTCACAAACATGGGGACAATCTCTCTATCTGCTCCAGCAGGGAGAACCATCTGCCAGGAGCTGCCCCAAGCTGTGCATTCACTTCTATTGTTTTCGTCCTAAAAAGTCACATGAAGAGCAAAGACTTCTCCATGGCTGCCAGAGGGTGACCAAATGCAAAGGGAAAGCTCGCCTTCATGGGAGCATTCCCTCTGAGATCAACATTCTGCTCCCAGGGTTGTGCAAACAGCTGGAGATGCTGGGGCCAAAGGAGGGCTCCAGAGAGAGTCCAAAGAGTGCAAGGTCCACGAGACAAGGGCATGGGCATGTGGGGATGAGTCAACAGTGGGATTTTGTGATCTTGGAGGTCTTTTCCAACCCTCACGATTCTATGAGAGGGCAACGGTGGGGATGGGTTGGGGTTGGACTGGATGAGTTTGAAGATCTCTTCCAGCTTTTGTGATTCTGTGAGATGGGTTGGTAGTTGGATAGCCTTATAGCTCCAGGTAGCCTGGTACTAAAAGCATGTGGAATAAAGTCCTAAAAAACCCTTAAAAAAACCACAAAAGTTGAAACCATCTTTAGGCATCACTGAGAAACCAACAGGTCATGAGCCCCAGATTTTAATTGCTTTGAAGATCACCTTTCATGGATTAATTCCCAAATTGTGCAGCAGCGGCTGAGCGTCCTCCCAGGTGCTTCCAGCAGAAGGCTGGAAATTAGCAATGGAAATTAGCGATGGAAATGACTTCTAGCTCACTGATCTCATTGCTGCGAGCAGATCCAAAGGCTGCGAATGGAGCACAGCAAAAGGAGCAGGGAGCAGCCCAAAGTCACCCAGCACATCTGTGCAGGAGCCAGGATTGCTCCCCACAGCGCTCTGACTTTCCTCATTTTGAATAGCTCTGGTTATTGGAGCCTGCTTGTTTCTCAGGAGTTGACCTCACTGTTTGGAAAGGTCCCCAGTGCTTTGCCCCACACACAGCCCCATCCTGTTGTTGAGCCTGCGGATGGGAAAGCTCTTCCTGTCCTTGAAGTGCAGCCCCTGGAGCTCTGCAAGCTGCTCCTCACGCCTCATCCCACACAGACCCAAAGCCCAGAGACCTGCCAGAGAAAACGGGAATACAGAGAACCTCATCCATGGGCCCGAACTTGTCCTCACTTTGAAGCTTTCATAGGGAAGTCCTGGGATGGAGGCAGAAGCAGTCTGCTGTGATCTCAGTTTGATGCGATTCCTGACGGGATCCTGATGCTTTCCTTCATCCCACCCCGAATAGGAAACCTGTAGCCGTCAGCGTGGCCACGTGCAGGAACACAACCTGCAGAAATGCACAGGGCTTCCTGTCCCTGTACCCCCCTGGCACCCCTTGGGATGCTGGTGGAACACCAAGAAGACGAGGCCCAACCCACATCTCCTTGCCAATGGCCATCTCCATCCAGCAGCGTGCAGATGAGTCAGCTTCTAACTAATTAACTTCTAACTTCTTTCAGCTTCATCTAATCTGCCCCTGTTACGTCGTCACGCACCACCTACCATCCGTATTCTGGATCTGGCGAGGGTTTTGTGGGTGCAAGGATGGCGCTGTAGGCTGGCACTGGACATCACTGCAGCCCCATTTCTGTAAGCAGGAGGTATATATTGAGCTGCTGGGGCTGAGATCAGAGAATCACAGCATCACCAAGCTTGGAAAAGGCCTCTAAGATCACCAAGTCCAACCTCCAGATGTCTGAGTGAGGTCCAGCCCTGAGCTTTGCCACTGCTGGTTTTACAAAACCTTGGTCACCTCTGCAAGATTGCTTTCCTGGCCAAAATTACAGATTCTCAGGGCTCAGACTTGGGGATAAACTCTTGGCAATAATGGATTTATTATCACAGCCCTGATGCAAACCCCACACAGAGGCCAGGCACTTCCTCCTCTCACTACTCAGGTACAGGGAGCTCATTTTTACTCATTTTTGGGGGGCAGAGAGCAGAGCATCAGCGTGAAAAATCCCAACTGAACGCCATAAATCTGCTCCCACACGACAGCTCCCAGCAGCGGTGTGCTGGGTGAATGGTTTGCTAAATGATGGTGCAGCAAAGTCAGTGGGGGAACAGGTTGGCTCTTATAGCTCAGCATTGGGCTGCAAGTGAGTGGGGCAAAGAGCAGAATGAAAACCTGCCCACCCTGGCTGTGCCTGCCCTGTGCTGACCTTCGTAAAACAAGAGAGCTTGCAATAAATGAAAGGGATAATACTTGGGAAATAGATGTGGATGGACTGCAGAGGGTCACTTTTCTTAAGTAATTGCCCAAGAACCAAATATTTATGTCAAACAAACCTGACCCGTAGCCTCAATAGACCCAAACCCAGCTGATTCCCTTCAGTTCTAAGTGCATCTCTAAGCCCCCCGACTTCCAAACAAGCTCATTGCCCTGGATTAATTCCAGCCTGCACAGACATGCAGCTGGTTTTAAACGCTCAGACCCTGGCTGCAGCCATCCCCTGCAGGACAAGCAGGGCAGCGTGGCTGTCACCTTGTCACCAGGCTTGACAGACAGGAGCTGAGGAGGTTTTGGGGGCAGGACTGTGATCACTTGGAAGCTGAGCAGTAGCAGATGGTGGTACTCAAGCAGCAAACCCTGCTCTAACTGGGCGCCCCTCTCCCTTCTCGTGGTTCTGCTGTGGGTTTGCCCCCTCTTCCTTGCTAGATTTGGTTCTGGTGCAGCTTTTGGCTTCCACTTCCATTGACCAGATGAGCCATGAAGCCAGGCAGTGCTGAGTGCTCCCACTCCCAGACAAGGAGATGGGGCTGAGCCCCTCTCATACGATGCTTGAATCAGCACAGGCTGGGCTGTGGGTTGTGTGCAGACAAGGAGGAAATCTGTGAATTGCATTTGAGCCAGCAGGATGCCTACCTGCATCCTGAGGGCTGAGCACAGGGAGGAATATCCCTCTTTCCTATTAGCATTGACAGGATGGATGAACGGGACACTGCCCATTGCCAGGATGGGTGGACGAGCAAGCAGGGAAGACACAGAATCACAAAACAATTTAGGTTGGAAAAGACCTCCCAGGTCACCCAGTCCAACCATCAGTCTGGCCTATTGAGTGCCATCACCAAACCACGTCCCTTAGTGCCATGTCCGTGTGTCTTTTTGATACCTCCAGGCATGGGGACAGCACTCCTGCACTGGACACCTGTTCCAGTGCTTGAAGCCATGATGGACCAGCAAGAGGATGAGGTCAAATGCATGTTTTCTTTCCCATGCACTCAACTCCCTCACTCAGACCACAGATAGAAACAAACTCCCTGCCAAGCAGGAGGTTGCCACAGACTTACATTTGATGAACTGGAGCAGGGAGAGGTTTTGCACGTGCTCGGACCTCGACCTGAGCTGGCAGAGCACATCCTTGCTCTTCTTGCTGCTGATCTCCTTCCCACTTGTCACCTGTGGACAGGTAAGAGTTGATCAGTACCAACATTCCCACCCAACTCACCCCTCCCACAGTTGTGCTGAAGGAAGAAGGGGAAATCTCCCTTTGGAATCACAGCCTGGGGAAAGCAGAGGGCAGCCCACCCTCCACAGATGGAGCTTGTGATGCTTTGCGTCCTGCCAGCAAATCCTGTCATCAAGATGAGAGCATGCAGAAGTCTGCATGACAAGGCTCAGAGCCTTTTTTTCCCCTTTTCCCCGCAGGACTGAATTGTATTTCATAAATATCTATGGGCACACAAGCCCAAGAAACGATGTACACCTGGGCAAGGTGTACCTAAATGAGGCAAAGGGAGCTCTCATTTGGGACGGAGGATGTGGATTTCTCCAGTTTTGGATGGAGGATGAGCATTTCTCCTCAGTGGAGATGGAGATGGGGACGCAGAGGCAACGACAGGGATGTGCCAAAGGCTCTGGGTTGTGCTGTGCAGCTGCAGACCCCTCACCTCTCTCAGCCTCTTTCCACTGTTCTGGATTATGAGAATCCCAGCTGAATTCTAGCAACTCTGCTCTCTTCTGGTGCCTTTATAGGTTTTGCCCCTAAGAACAACAGCGTGGAAGGGATATCCTTTCCCTCCGTGGAAGGGACCTCCATTCTGGGGATCAACGCAGCTGCAGGGCAGATGTGTCCGGGTCTCGGTGCTTACAGCCCTAATTTAGTGTCAGTTGATGGTTGGAGCTTTGTAAGGATGAGATCCACATCCTGCCTGTCCTGCTGCCACCACTCCAAAGGAGAGAGAAAGAGAGGTGGGACGTGGGGCCCTTGGATCACTCCAGCTCCATCCCGACCCCCTTAGGAGCCATCCAAAAGCAGCACCCTACATCCCTGCACATCATCCTGCATCAGCAAGAGGAAGGCCAAGGGAGAAGGGAGTTTTTTGGATGCACTCGTTCTGCAGGTTTTTACTGGTGGGATGAGGGCATGAAGTAGGTGAGAAGTGCTACTACAGAAGCATTACATGGCGAAGGAGCTCAGGGGGAGCATGGTTTGATGGAAAACCTCAGCTTATTTTCAGCCAGCAGCCCTGGGAGCCACATCTGACATCCCACATCAGCTAACGTGAGTCAGACAAATGAGTTCATCTGATGGAAATTAGATGTTCTACATTCCCTACAAGAGCTGGATGGTTTGTTGGCTGAAATGAGCTCTTTTTCTCTGAAAGCACGACATTAAACACTGGAAAGGTCACGATGTCCCGTGCTGAGAATGCCACTCTCTTCTGAAGTCTCTGCACAGCAGCAGTGAGATCTGTGCAGCTCCTTCTCCATGTGCCATCAGTAGAGCACAGAGATTGATATCATCATTTTAAATGCACAGATACAAATCCAGTTCCTCCCGCTTTTCCATCAGGACCAGACAGGCAGGAGCAAAAACCACAAGCATTTGTCAAAAACGAATTCAAGCTGTTGCTCCCTGCAGCTTTCCCAGCTGATAGCTGCTGTTGTTTCAGAGTGGGAACAGCATGCAGGGCTGCACACCCAGAGCCAAATCCACATCCCCAGTCCTCGACATCCCCCCAGCCTCTGTGTAAACATGACAGATCCATGTGCATCTCCATACAAGGAGCAAAGCCCTGGAGGAGAACGCAGGATGCACTGGCTCAGATTCACAATATATTCCTGCAGGAGGAAATGCATTCCTGAGGGGTGAAGCAGAAAAACTGGGAAAGCAAGCAGAGAGGGAGCAGGTCCTGCCTGCCGTGGGGATTTCAGTGTTGCATCACGCATTGGCATGCTGACATCACTGGGTAAAACAATGCAGGTTGGTGGCTCGGCGCTTCCCAGCCGTCTGCTGAGGTGTCTTGCCAAAGGAAAACAACCAAAAGTAGGAAATGTCGTGCAGAATGGCCCTGTGCTCTGTTTTGGGTTGATCCTTAAAGGGCTCGATGGACCGGGCTGCCGTTGCATCCTTTGCTTTTTGCAATGGGGTTTTGTCTAACGCTGTCAGGCTTCTTGGGATGGTGAAGGAGGCAGCTGGCTTTTGAGGGGTCTTGGTTGGGTTCCCCAAGGAAGCACCAGCAAAACCACTGGCTCATGCACTCAACGAGGCTGGAAAAGACCTCCAAGGTCCCCAACCCACCCCACCATCCCACATCCCTCAGTGCCACATCCTCACTGCTCTGGAACATCCCCAAGGATGGTGACCCCCCCATCTCTCTGGTCAGTTGTGCCAGTGCCTGATCACTCCTTTGGAGAAGAAAATGGAGCATTCTTGTCCCATTTCCATGCACAGACACAAATAAATCAGACACAGCAGAGCAGGGCTGGGAGCCAAGGGAAGAGCAGGACCTGCTTTGCAGATGGAGGTGGCTACTGCAGCCTGGTTTCACGCGGATACACCATGGGAAGAAGGGGATAAATGACCCGCTTTGTGACATACAGATTTTCTGTGTTTAATTTGTGGTTTCCAGCAGATTTCCCCTCTGGCTGAGCTGAACCTGCCGCTCCAGGCACAGTGCAAAGCAAAGTCAGCGAACCTATTTAGGTGTTGCACAAACAAAACGTGAAACCTCATTGCCTGGAAAAGCACCCACCTCCCTCCTGACAAGGTCGTGTTCCTCACAAACGCTCCTCTGTGTCTCTTCCAGCAGACGTGGGTCCCCCAGGGTCCCATTTCCTTGAGTGCTGAAATAGCCATCCTGCAGCCTCGCTCAGGTGGAGCCAGGTGATTATTTTTAACTCTTCCTGTATTTGACATTCCATTGGGAAAATCCAACCACTGAGATCAACACTTTCCTGTAACGCAGCCGCTTCTGCACCACTGCACTCTGCCACCTGCCCTCCGAGTGCTCCCCAAATGTCCTCTATTTCCAGGCTGGTGCTTGGAGGTTTTAATGGAGAAGAGGGCTCTGGGGAGAAAGAATCTCAACAAATGCTTGGATTCCCCTGCCCAGCTCTTTAACCTTTGGCCACCAGCTGACAACACAAAAGGAGTGGATCATTGAAAGTTCCCTGTGGGTTCTTTTCCTTTCTCCGTGCCCTGGAAGCAAACCGTGCCACTGCTGGATCAACGTGGGAGGATTTGGATAAATGTGGACTATTTGTCCCAAGAGAGAAATGGGAGAAGTTATTTTTCGCTTCCTCTCCATTGCACGAAGTCCCTGGGACAGAAAAAGGCAAGTCACTGCCATCCCACAGCATGGGACCTGGGAAGTTCCCTGCTGATCTGTCTGCAGGATGTTGACCTTGGTTTGCCAATTCCTGCCCCATAGTGTGAGGCACTGCTGAGATCGTAGAATCATAAAATTGCTCAGGTGGAAAAGACCTGCAAGACCATCAAGTCCAACCTCGACCCAACCATACGACCCTAACCATGACAACCCAATGCTGAATCACCCAGCCATGAGATGGATGGGTTTAAGCATGGAAGAAGGGAGGTGACATCCCAAACCTCTGCTCTGCCCACATAGGTCTCCTACCTTGGTGTTTCCCTTTGCCTTCAGGCATCTCCTCAAACAATTCAGGGGTGAATTACAAGCGAGAGCTGAAGGGATGGGCAACAGGGGATTCATCTCACCCAGGGACAAAGCAGAAATCCCAGCAGATGCTCTTTGGGGGCCAACACAGAGCCATTGCACTGCTGCATATCCTGAGAGCTCCTACACTGCCCACCCATCCAGCCCTGCCATGAAATGCCCCCCAAAATCCACTGCAAAGGCACGAATCCTCTGGCCACCCCTGTTCTCTCCCTCCTATCTTTGGTGGCATGGTTCCTTTCATATTCATGCTTCCTTACAGCCCTGATGTTTCACTTCTCCAAGCTGATCCAACACACGTGGGGCACTGGGATGAAGAAGGACCCAGCACAAAAGAAGCTTTGTCTCAGTCATCTCTTCTTGTGTGCTCCACATGGATGGGCTACGCTGGGCTAGGGGCTGACAAAGGGTGGATCACAGCATCCTGTTCTCCCTCTTCAACAACGCCAGAGTTTAAATAAGCAATGGAAATCCAGTATGTCAGAAGGAGAACAGCAAATGCTCCAGGTCCATCTCCACGTGGTGCAGCCACGGAAGGAGTAAGAATGAACTGAAGACGGTTTTTCCAGGAGAGGTGGGGAAGCGCCGGCCCTGCTGCAGTGAGCTGCGTTGGGAGAACCAGCAGAAGTCAGGATGGTTGGAAAAGAGGGCTCCTCGGGTTGGAGAGGTCCTCAGCACAGTGCTGAACAAGGTTAGTGCTTCCTCTTTTGTTTCAGGTGCTGAGAGGGCACCTTTTCCCCTTTCAGACCCGGGATGGATGGTACAGCACTGACCCAACTGCCTACTGGGGAACTGGAAGACGTTCAAGGTCTGGGACAAAACCGTGAGAAATGCAGGCAGCATTAAACTGGAATGACTGGAATAAAACTGGTCTTGACTGGAGGCAGTTTGTCCACTAAAGGCCTTTTCTTCTTATCTTCAACTTGAGACGATGACAACTTTATGGCTTCGCTGTGGTTGTCCCTCCAGCAGTGTTATTCAGGATGCTAGAAATGCACTGATGGGTTTCAAAGCAGGGGAACCAAAAAAAGCACTGATGGAGAGATTGATTCATGAGAAAAAAGAAGATCAAAGGAGCGAACTCTCATTAGTGTTAACACAAAGTGCAAATGTCCTTCCAGGAACTTCAAAGGAAAGAAGCCGTGAAGATGAAACGTGGCTGTAGAATGAAAATCCTCCATCTCTCTTAGCCAACGAGCCAGAGATGTCTGTGGGATGATGTCCATTGGGGAGGGTGTGCTGTGGTCTGGAGGGATGACCAAGAGCTCAGGTGAGGTGCACAGAGTGAGCTGGGAGAAAGAAAATGAAGGCATGAGGACTCCCCTTTGCCTCACAGGGCTGCAGCGTTTCTGGGAACCCAACAGGGGTAGAACACGACATCCCCCCCCAAAAAGCCCAGCTGGTCCAACTGGTGACACTTCACAAGCAGGAGGAGCCCAAATCCCTTGAGGAATCACTTGCTGATGTGGTATTTCCAGAGAAAAGAAGAGCTGTTCTGCACCAGGAGGTGCACGTGCTTGTTTAGACAAGTGTTAGCATTCTGAGATGAAATCTGTGTGAGAGGCAGCCAGACAGGCTGCAGCATGACCATGACATTGAAAAGAATGCAATTTCACCAACCAAGCACCTCCATGGGACTCCGACAGCGAAAAGAATCCCCAGCCTTCCTGTGTCACACCTCCTTTATAAGAACAACATGCTTTGAGTCGTTCTCTGCCATGCTCTGTTTGCCAGAAAGCCAGAACCACAGCACAGCACAGCACTTGGGAAGCCCAGCAGCTGTTCTGTCTGCTGGCACAAGTATGAATTTGCTCAGCAAGGATCCTGAGAGGTTGAGACCCCACTGGAAGCACTGAGGTGTGAGCAAAGCTGGGTGCTGCAACCCTGTGTGCAAGTGAGTGCTGAAAAAATGGGGTTTAGCAGTGGAAATGAGACAAACTACCCACCAGCCTCAGTATTTCAAACACAGCCAGGGCACTTCTCAAGAAAGCTGGGGATGCATTGTTCCGTTGTCTGTATTTCCTATGAAACAGGATTGACTTCCTCATCAGATACATAGGAAACGGGCCAGCAGCGTCACAGCTGCCAGCAGCTCCCGAGATGGACAAGGCAGAAGGAGAAGGACCATTCCTTCCCCTGGGATGTGGGGAGTGCAGCTGGGCCAGGAGGGTGAGAAAGCAGGACCTCCATCACGTAGGGCTTTCCTGGTTCTATATTCTCCTGCACAGAAGCGCTGCTTTGGTGTCCCCCCATGAAGTCATTGCATCCGTTGAGCTGCTTGCACATGGCTGGGTTTCACTCAACTGGGCTGTGCTTAGCATAGAGCCTAAGCGAGAACAACTGATGCTGGATGTGAGGCCAAACCACAGCTCACATGGAATCACAGAGTCATTAAGGTTGGAAAAGACCACTGAGGCCATCGAATCCAAACATCAACCCATCCCCACCACGTCCACTCGCAGAACCACGGGATCATTAAGGTTGGAAGAAACCTCCAAATCCATCGAGTCCAACCCCAACCCACCCCCACCGTCTCCACTCACAGAATCATGAAGGTTGGGAAAGACCTCCAAGACCATTAAAAGTCCAATCGTTGACCCACCCCCACCTTGCCCGTACACCACGTCCTTCCTTGAGGAAGGATGTTTGTGTGCAATGCCACAGGGACCATCCCCAGCCCCTCTCCTACCTCTTTTGGCATTTCCCGTGGGAAGAAGAAATAAGGCACTGCGGACACGGCCACAAGGCTGGCTGCCACCAGGAAGCCGAGCCACCAAGCACCAACCCACCGTGGGTCTTTGTTGGTCAGCAGGACCTCATCTGCAGCACAAACAGATGGAATGGTGTTTAGTCTGAGTCCAACAGTGCAACGAAGGCGTGATGCTGAGTGGCCCCAGGCACCCAAGACAACGGTGTGCTCCATGGAGGAGGTTCCCACCCTGGGGACCATCGGTTCTGAGGTCCGAGCAACCTGAAGGTGTACTAAGTAAGGGTGTAGCTGATAATAAATTAGAAGTCGTTGACTCCCTCCTGGGTAGAGAGGCCTTTCAGAGAGATCTCAGTAAATTGGAGAGCTGGGGAAGGTGTCAGGAAGGGTCGGGCTGAGTGTTAGGGAAAGGTTCTGCTGCATTGGGCAGTGGGCATGGGGCTGAGCTGCCGGAGCTCAGGGAGCTCTGGGACACAGCTCTCAGCCATAAGGTTGGGTGGTGAGGTGCAGGATCAGGAGCTGAGCTCACTGGTCTTTGTGGGTCCTCTCCAACTCTGGATATTCCACGGTTCTGTTGAAGCATGGAATCACCAAGTTTGGAAAAGACCTCCAAGGTCACCTAGCCCACCTACCACTGACATTTCCCTACTAACCCGCGTCCCACGGTACAACATCCAACCTGGCTCGTGCCGTGCTACCAATCACAGAACAGTTTGGGTTGGAGGGGACACTTAAGGGTCACCCAGTTCCAACTCTGTGCTGTGGGTTGGACTGTCACCCACCCAAACATTTTGCCCAGGGTCCCATCTCAGCTCGCTCCTTAGCAACTCAGCACGATGGGGACGGATGGCTGAGCAGAGCTGCTGCCCTCACCCACCTCCAGCCACTTTGTCGATGTCGACGTAGAAACGCAGCATGCCAGAGCCCAGCATGAAGCCCACCCCAGGCCCAACCACGGTCAAGGAGAACAGGATGCCTGCAGGGAAGAGAGCAGAGAGGGGCTCAGCCCCGTGCAAAGGGGCCGTGGGGGCTGCAGGTGGCTCCCACCACACCTGCCCCCACTGTGGGCTGTTTCCTAGCAGCTTTCTCACCTCTCTCCTATTGAGATCTATCCTATCTATGGGGATAACAACCCCGTGCTTTCCAGGCTCCTTGTGCAGGAAAGGTTTTGCAAAACTCAGATGTTTCCTTGCTACTTTTCTCCAGCCTTCTCAGCAAGTCGAAATTCCCCCAGGGAGCCAGATGTGCCCTTTGACATCATAAATCTAGATAAAACTAAGTTGTTCAAGGGATTTTTGATGTCATCATGCCACGTGTGTTAATTTCCATTGCCAGTTTACTGCCCGCCCTTTGCAGGGTGAAGGTGATAACAGTTATCAGCAAACCCTTCAATGTGAATTGCCGATGAAAATTATAAACATGCTGAAGGTCCCACTCCCATTCTTTTAAATGAGCTCCAAAGGTCTGGAGCAAAATTTAGAACCACGGAATGGTTTGAGTTGGAAGGGAACCTTAAAGGCCATCTGGTCCCACTCCCCACAGCGCACAGGGACACCCACAGCTCCAGCACTGCTCAGATCCCCATCCAGCCTGACCTTGGCTGTCTCCAGAAATGGCTTATCCATTTCATAGGGCGCTTCCAGACAGCAGTGACCTGTTTTTGAGCCATCCTTGCAGGCCCATCCAGCTCAAAATACAGATAATAGATGCTGAAGGGCTTGGAGGACCTGTGTGGACCATCTCATCCATCCCACCACCGTGAGACATCTCTCTCATGCATCTGCCCCCACTCGTTGCACTGAAGGATGCTTGCCCACCCTCTAGATGGTTGTTCCTGCTGTTTCAGCCTCTTATCATTTTCCCCACACCTAAAAGCAATCCCAATTGCTCCCCTAAGTCACATTTTCCAGCACACCTGGTCCATCTGTTCCTGATACAGAGGGTTAATTCCGTTTTCCCCTCTTTCCACCACCGCCCCAGCCTTACCCAAGTAGAGGGGGGAGTTCCTCTCGCTGGCAAAGTCGTCGATGTAGGAGATCCCGAAGGGTTGGATGGGGACACCGCCGATGCCCAGCAGCACCTGGGCGATGAACATGACGAGGAGAACCTCGTGGTTCTCCCTGGCGGTGTGGGGGGCACAGATGGAGTCACTGAGGTTCCCTGAGGAGCCCATGCCTTCGGGTTGGCACAGGTCGGTGGTGTTGCTGAACACACCTGTGGGGAAAAGAGAGGGTCTGAGGGTTGGTCAGGAGAAAAGAAGAGAGCGGCAAGAGTGATTTGGGTTGGAAGGGACCTTCACGATCATCTACTTCCAATCTCCCTGCAGCGAGCAGGAAAAACAGAAATATAATCATATCATAGAATGATAGAATGGCCTGGGTTGCAAAGGAGCAACAGCGCTCATCCAGCTCCAAGCCCTGCTGTGTGCAGGTCGCCAAGCAGCAGCCCAGGCTGCCCAGAGCCACATCCAGCCTGGCCTTGAATGCCTGCAGGGATGGGGCATCCACAGCCTCCTTGGGCAACCTGAATAAGACCGTAGGGGAGGCGTTCACAACAGGATGTTCATTACACCCTAAATCACCTGCAAATCCAAGTGCTCAACACAGAGCCACCTGCAGCACCCACTCCAGAATGAGTGGTTAATTGTTATCCAACCACCACTTACACCTGATCCCTGTGTGCAGCTGTGAATTATTCACCTATTCCATCTTCCTTTAGTGCCCATAGCTGAGCAAACCAGCTGCTCTCTGAAGAGCCAGAGAAAAAGCATTCACTGGAGGCTCCTATAGGATTTGCTGGAGAGTTGTGGCAGAACTTCATAGAGTCATATGGTTTGATTGGGAAGGGACCCATGAAGGTCACCTGGTCCCACTCCTCTGCAATGCATGGTGACACCCACAGCTCCATCAGTGCCCAGAGCCCCATCCCCTGACCCTGCGTGTCTGCAGGGTTGGGGCATCCACCACCTCTCTGGGAACGGTGTCACAAGAGAGAAGTATTCTCCCTTCTTTCCTTCTCATTCCTTCGCCTTCTTTCAGGAAGAAGCTCCCGATTCCACCCCGACCCTGTTCTCCATGAGTGATAGATATATACATGCCTGTTTCTCACAAGATGTTGACTTTTAGACAGGGTCTAAACCCCAAGGAATCCCTCTCAGATGTCTCAGCTGCACATAGGCAGGAAGGGAGATGCCCCGCAAGCAGGAGATGGGCGTGAAGCTGCTGCTCACCCACTGCAGATGACATTTCACCTCCTCTGCCATCCTCGCTCCTTCCCACAGCTCCAATTTCCTTCCCGTAAAAAGCTTCAGGGGTCAATGTACACAGCGTGCCTTATCTCAGGAAAATGAAAGTAAAGGAACAGCTGATGTGGGTCAGCTTGGTGCAGCTGATGGAAGAGATGGCTTCTGTGCTATGGGTGAGGTCAGCTTGGTGCAATTCATGGAAGATGAGAGCCCTGATGTCTGGAGAAGGCCTTCCTGCTGCCTGGCTGCAGCATGGGACAAGGGGAACCAAACTTCATGCCCACCTCATGCCCCTCCCTCTGGCTCCAGCATACAAGCTGTCTCCTGGCTCTGCCTTCCCCCCGGGCAGCTGTTTCCATTGGGCACTGAGATGGTTTAATTCGCTCATTAAAACTCATCTTGCAGCTGCTGACGCCTCAAGAGAAGATCGTTTCCTTCCTCTATCCCAAAAGGCATAAAATAAGTTCCTAGAGTACCTACTGGCAACGGACTGGTCGTACTCATAGGGTCCTGTGATGAAGTGAGGGAGGGACATGAGGAACCCAGCCAAGGAAACCAGGATGGCACCGCAGCCGATGAAGCGGGGCCGGTGCACGCGGCTCCCAAAGTAGCTCATGAAGACAATCAGCAGCGTGTTCCCCACCTGCAGCAGGACACAAAGCAAGAAGCCTCAGAAATGCCAGCAGAGGAGGGTGGGAAGAGCGTGGATGGGGGAAGTGAGCAGGGCTCACCTCGTTGAAGGACGCGAGCAGCCCTGATGTCTTGCTGGAGAGGCCGTAGCGTTTCTCGATGGTTGAGATGGAGCTCTTCAAGTAGCTGGAGACCAGGAGCTGGGAGAGCTGCAGCAGCCCGTGGCAGAACACAAAGAACTGCCGACACAAAGCGAGAGCATCAGGCACCGTCACTGCGAGCTGCAACACTGCAACAAAAGCGTTTGTGCAACTCCTGCACTAAGGCACGGTCATGGAACAGAAACTAGCCAATGTGGGATCATAAAAGGTAAGTCCTGCTCGACCAACCTCGTCTCCTTCTATGACTGCTTGATCCAGATGATGCAAATCTTATGGGGAGCAGATGAGGGAACCGGGATGGTTTAGTTTGGAGAAGAGGAGGTCAGGGGAGACCTCACTGTGCTCTTGAAAGGAGGTTGTGGTGAGGTGGGGGTCAGCCTCTTCTCAGGTAACAGCGACAGGACAAGAGGAGACGGCCTTCAGTTGCACCAGGGGAGGTTCAGGTTGGATATTAGGAGAAATTGGTTCCCCAAAGAGTGGTTGAGCATTGGCACAGCTGCCCAGGGAGGTGGTGAGGTGTTCAGGAGCCATGGGGACGTGGCACTGAGGGATGTGGTCATTGGGCACGGTGGGGGTGCTTTGGGTTTGGGTGTGGGGATCTGAGAGGTTTCTCCAGCCCTAATGGCTCAATGGAATATTCTCTCTGCTCCTGCCAGCAGTGGTTTTCTGAAGCTCAGTCGCCACCACCAAGTACATCTCTGCTCAAAATTACCAGAGGGTGAATGCTCGTAAGGAGGGTGCATTTCTTCAGCAGATAAATGGCTTTGGATCAACAAATCCTTTCACCTGGGGTGCTGCTCACTTGTGTTGGCCTTGACCTGAGGTCTACAGCAGGAGTTGTGCAGCCCTCCTATACCCAGCCCAGCCAGCCTGACCCCAGCAGCCTCCCCGGTGCTGGCAGGAGATCCAGGATGGGAATGAGCCCTTCCAAACATGGCAACGAGCAGCTCCTCTCGAGAAAGTCAGGAGGAGGTCAGGGAGGGGAATTCAGTTCTCCAGTTTCCTCCCATTTTTTTTGTTCATTTTTAGCTCTTGCTAAGATTTGGATGCAAAGGGTGTTACCTTCTGCTGGATAGCGGGATGGCTCTTCTTCATTTCCAGAAGGAAAACTTGTCAAAGACTGCCAGCATCCCAGAACAAAGCCCTGAGCCCCTCTCCTGCCAAGTTTGGATGGATTTGTGGTGTGTGCACAGCTGCCCCAAGAAACTCATGCCTGAGGGCAGCATCCATCCTCCTGCTCCTCGCACAGAAGCATTTCTCCTTCATCAAACCATCCCAGGAGGGATGGAGTCTCCCTTCACCACATCTCTGGCACTCAGTAAAGGGAGGGAGGTGATGGCCAATCTCTTACCCTGCTGCCACGTGGCTCACCACGTCCTTTCCCAGTCTCCAAAGGAGTTCAGACCACCTCAGCACCCTAAGGAGCACCAGGGTGTGGGTGCCACAACCTTCAGCCACGTGCCGTCATCCTGCACAGCAGGACGCCAGCCAGATAGGATGGGCAGAACAAAGCACAGAAAAGGGAGATGCCTGCACAGGACTCCACGTGGCTGGGTTACAGCTCTGGACAAGGACCCCAGTGCTTCTGGCTCAACCACCTGCTGGTTATTTATCCAGCAGGAAAAGAGGAGCAGGCTGGTGGCCATTGGATCTGCTGGAGAGACAGGCATCCCTGCTGCCCTGCGTCTTGTTCTGCACAGACATCCAGGTGTTCACAAACCCCTCGCCCCTTCCCCATCCCTTCCCACTTCTTGCAGCACAGGTTGTGATTCCTGGCCCTCGATGCCTGGGATGTGACACCACGCATCCCCATCTCCTTCAATCCAGCTCGCTGGATTTGGGGTTTGGTTCTGTCCCAGCGGTGAGGTCTGTGATCGCAATGGAAGCAATGGAAGCAGGCTGGGGGCATTCTCTGGTGCTAATGTCATGGCAAAAATAGCCAGCAGTCATCCTACCAAGTGCCCCAAGCACGCACAACAAGGGGGCTTCACCAAAGGCAAGGGAGGGGGTTCACGAAAAGCATTGGGGTTTAACCAGAAACAGTGGGGTTATGACAAAAACAAGGGGTTGTGACAAAAATGAGGGGGTTTCAACCCAAACAAAGGGCTTTCAGGCAAAGCAAGGAGGGTTCAAAAATAAAACCAAAACAACAGAGGTTTCACCAAAAAAAAAAAAAGAACAAATCAAAATAAATCAAACCGAAAAGAACCAAATTCAGCAAATAAAGAAAGGGGAGTTCAACAAAAAAAAAGAGCTTTTACACAAAAGTGGGGGTTTTTACCCAAAAAAAAAAAAAAAAGGGAAGATTTCAACCCAAACAAAGGGGTTTCAAAAAGCAAAAAAACAAAAAAAAAAAACCAACAAGGCAGTTTCACCAAAAAAACAATGGGATTTCAACCAAAGCGAAAGGAATTTCAACAGAAACGG